GCGCGCGGCCGCCGTGCGGTCACGGCGCGCGGCCGCGGCCGCGGCCGCGCGGAGCCGGCTCCGCCGGGGCCTCGCGGCCTGGGCCGCGGCCGCGTGCCGCGCGCTCCAGCGGACGGCGGCGCGCCACGTGGTCCGCGTCCAGCGGTCTCGCGCGCTCCGCGGCGCTCGCGCGGCACTCGCCGCGGCGGCCGCGGCCGCGCGGCGCGGCGCTCGACGCGCGGCGCGGCGCGCAGCGCGCGGTCGCCGCCTGGCGCGCGCGCGCCGCCGCCGCGGGCGAGCGGCGCCGCGCCGCTGCCGCCGTCGATGAGAGCCTCACGACGGCGCGGAGGAGCAGGGGCTGCCCCGACGAGGGCAGGCGTGCGGTTTTGGGGCAGCTCGTGGCAGCCCCGCCCTCCACACAGTCCAGTGCTGACGCCGCGGCGCTGCGCTGCGTCGCGTGGCGGCTTGCGGCCGCACCTGCACGTACAGGCCACAAAGGGCGGGACGCAACGCGCCGTGTTTCGGTGCGCGTCCATTGTGCGCTGGCTAGTGTCCGTCTCCGGTCCGTCCCCGGTCCGTCGCCACCTTCGCAGCCACTCGTTTTAAGTTTTGGCCTTGTACTTTTTCTTGAAGTGTCCGTCCCCAGCGCGGGGACGGACCGTCCCGCGGCAGGGAAATACCGCCTCTCCCGAAGCGCGGATAACTCCTTCAATTACGAAAATGCTTGAAGTGGTGCAGTAAATGTTACCTTCGATAGCCGCCGCGCGCGCGCGGCCGCGAGCCGCCGCCGCGGCGCCAGGGCGCCGGCGCCGGCGTGGCGGCGGGCGGCGTCCGCGCGTAGACCGCCGTCGCGGCCGCGTCGAACCAGGGCGCCTTCTCGCCCTTGGCCGCGTCGGCCCGGACCGTCCTTGTCGCCGCGTCGCGCCGCGCGGGCGCCGCGCCCGTGCGGAGCAGCTCCGCGCAGGCGTCCTGGCCGTTCGCGCGCGCGGCGTCCTCGGCCGTCTCGTCGTACTTCGTGCGCAGGGTCGCATCCGCGCCGAGGCGCAGGAGCTCCGCGACGGCGTCGAGCCGGCCGCCGTAGGCCGCGAGCTGCAACGCGTGCTCGCCCGAGCCCGGCGCCTGGCGGTTCACGTCCGCGCCGCGCGCCGCCAGCGCGCGGATGCCTCGGACCCGCCCGAAGAGCGCGGCGACCATGAGCAGCGTCCGGTGCTTGTGGCTCGGCGACGACGCGTCCGGCGCGCAGGCCGTCGCCTCGAGCAGGTATTCGAGCGCCTCGGCGTTGTCCCAGGCCTGGAGCTGGTCGAAGACGCAGCGGAAGAGCAGCACGTCGCGCCGCTCCTGCTTGCGCGCGTCGGGCCAGAAGGTCACGCCGCCCATGGCGATCGGGTTGTCGTGGGGCGGCACGACGACGGCGCGGGCGGACCGCGGCAGCTCCGCGTAGGCCCAGCACTTGAAGCCGCCGACGTGCAGCGGGCGGGA